ACAGGAGCACACACACACACACAATCACTCTCTGTCTCTCTCTCACACACACATTCTCTCAAACTTTCACTCACTCACTCGTGCACACAGACAATTACACCACACACATATAAATACACGCACGGGCATCGCGGCTGAGTGGACAGCGCTTGGGGGTTGTAGTCCCAATGGCCCGGGTTCGCTTCCCGGCGGGCCCGGAAAACAAAATAACAGAGTTTCTTTCACCTAGCAGAAAATAGGTACCTGGGAGTTAGAGAGCTATATAATAGATATAATATAGGAAAAATAGATTGGTTAGAAAGGCGGGGATAGAAGAGCTAATAGCTCGATTCTGCAGACACAGATAGTATATACGAGCATACCCACATATGCACACACACAGGCGGGAACAAAGAGCCGAAGCTCAACCCCCGTAAGCACAACTATGTGAGTACATGTCATTCATGAGTATGCTGCCAGAGACTAGAGCTCTACCTTCATAAATGACGAAACAACTTGATGAAAACTCCCAAAATATGCCAGAAGGCAGAGGGAACTGGATCTCACTACACGGAACGAAAGAATGGATCATCGGAGCCTCAAACCGCGGACTACAAAAGCAGTGGCCCGCAGTCCTACCAACTGAGCTACGAGCACCCACAATAAGGAAGAATACCAGAGACACGCAAATGGTATCGAAGTGGGATTTTAGGCCTTCCATGGCGTGTCACTTGAGCCAGGAAGTGTTAGGTGATCCACGTCCAAGTCAGGTAAGTTGCAAACCACAATAACGTGGATTAGAAGATTTCATTTGCAATTTATATGATTGGGACTTTGCTCAAGTGGATCCCAAGGCCTACAGTACCACTTCAATACCTGTTGAGTATCTCTTCTATCCTTCCTTTTTGTGCTCGTGGGTTAGTTGGTATGACTGTGGGCTACTGCTTTAGTGGTCCGAGGTTCAAGGCTCCGATGGTCTAAGAATATGAAGTATTATTATCCATGATAGTGTGGTTTGCAAGTTATATAACTTAATACAACAGGAGCAGAAGATCTCCACGAAGCGAAACGCCTTGAAAGACAGAAATGTCGCTTTTATCTTCGTAAGCCCTCTCGGGGACTGTCAGCCTCAACGATATCAATATATAGGCAAGACAACAACATTTTTATTTAACAGTGCCAGACAATGCACACATAACAAAGCTTCATTAAATAATGAACACAAAATTTCCAAACATAACGAGATTATCACCGAAGATATCCTAGCCAACAATACTGAAATAATCGATCGTTACAACGACAATAGAAGACTGGGGCCAGATTCACGAAGCAGTTAAGTACTTACGAACGTGTACATCTTTCCTCAATCTTTTATGGCTTTGGTTACATTTATTAAACAGTTTACAAGCATGAAAACTTGCCAATCAACTGTTGTTATTGTTATAAACAGCCTCCTGATGCTCCGGAGCTCATTAACTGTTTAATAATTGTAAACAAAGCCGCCAGAGATTAAGAAAAGATATTCAGGTTCGTAAATGCTTGCGTAACTGCTTCGTGAATCTGGCCCCTGGCCATCTGCCAGGCACATATCAAAACAATCTCAACCACCTATTAACAATCAGCTCACACACTCGCGGCTACATTCTACCATCCTCAAGACCAAAGTCAGACTATCCAGTACGCACTGCCCCAGCCACCATAAGAACAAAGGAGTTGAGGATCAACATAGTGCCTGTTGGTCCATATGATCTTTTTCCTCACTCTCGTGGTTACATAAACAGTTGTCCGGCCCAACTGCCCGAAACGCATTGCGTAATAGTGGCTTTAGGCATTGTATGTACTAGCTCTATCTATATATCAATCCATTAATGTAACATCACTTGTATGTATGTACCTTACCTGAATAAACATATTTATTATTTATTTATTTAATTAGTAGTCAAGTCATTCGCCTTTCAAAATATTGTCAGGGTCACCCAAACGAAGATTTCAACATAAGAAATATAAATATTCGTTTTAGAATCATTGCTCTAACGCTTTCTTTAATAACTGGTCTATTGTAGTCACTGCTTGGGAAACTCCAGTCTTAATTATCCGAATCACTCTAGAACAAAGTTCATGATTGTTGTGGGGCTGCAGTCCTGGTTTTCCAGGTCCAACGAGGCTTTACGAATATATAAAAAAATATGTGCGTTTTCATGGATTGTGTACATACGTGTAAATGATTTTAATCAATATTCTGAACAACTATTAGATCAGATTTTTACGTTTCAGAAAAACAAAAAGATTATTTCGTGACAGAAAACGGAGGAATTTGTTCAAGTTTCAAGCGGGTGACTAATACAAACTAAGAACTTTCACTATTAATTGCAGAAACTTTCCCGATTTTTATTTTATATATACAAGAGTTCTTATATTATTGTAAAACCACTAACACGCATAGCGTTTCAGGTAGTTTTTATTATTATTATTATTTTCTACCACAGACGTGGCGACACATCCTATTTCTACACATTTAGGGGCCTCGTAGCCTGGTGGATAGCGCGCAGGACTCGTAATTCTGTGGTGCGGGTTCGATTCCCGCACGAGGCAGACACAAATGGGCAAAGTTTCTTTCACCCTGAATGCCCCTGTTACCTAGCAGTAAATAGGTACCTGGGAGTTAGTCAGCTGTCACGGGCTGCTTCCTGGGGGTGGAGGCCTGGTCGAGGACCGGGCCGCGGGGACACTAAAGCCCCGAAATCATCTCAAGATAACCTCAAGATACACAGCTTTAAGTGTAGATATGATAGATCCCAGTAGGCTCAGGAAACTGTACATTAGTTGATTGATCGTTGAGAGGCGGGACCAAAGAGCCAGAGCTCAACCCCCGCAAGCACAACTAGGTAAGTACACATCTACAATGCAAATCAGCATATAAACATTTTGTTCTGTCCTCCATGGACAGGGTGAGAGATCTGTTAAGCATATAGTTCTGTGATTTATTGAACAATCAACCACAGAAGGTGATTGTAGTGCTTTTAAAATTCAAATCTAACTTACAGATATAAATACATAGATACACAGAGTTACGTCTGCCCTACATAAAGTGGTCGATGTGTCTTTTACATGGTGTCATTAATGTGCATTTACAAGGTGAAATGTAATTCTGATCAGCTTGAACATATATTTTATACACATACATACATACATACAAATACATACGCACACATATACATATATATATACATATATACATACAAATATACACACACATACAAATACATAAATTTATGGCTCTCCAATTCTGAGAGGGTAAGATAGCTGATAGAGAAACTAGTGTGTTATTATGCACTTAATCACTGAAGGTGATTAAGATGCTTTTACAAGTTCAGGTTATATAGTTACATCACATTTTATAATTGATACATTACATGGTCAATCTTTGGTACAAGTTCAATATATCAAGTGTTTCAGGCAGGTCCTTAAGCCTATTTTTTCCCGGAATACAATCCGCCAAATCGTTTAACAACCAGGTATACATTCACTGATGGGTGAACAGAGGCTACAATTAAGGATTGGCGCCCAGTCAATCATCCCCGGCCAGGATTCGAGCCCATGCCAGAGCGCTCACGAAGCGCCTGGCGAATGTTTTACCACTGCGCCACAGGGATCAGAATTGCAGAATTGATTTCTCGAATCAATTTCCCGATTGCAGAAACAGGATGAATTAAACGTATTATGAAAAGCTGACTAAGGAAAGAAAGAAAAAGTTGTATTTTAAAGTAGCGAATAACTTCATTAAAACATCATGACGGAGCTGTTTGACTTAATAACCAGTGGAGGACAATGTGAGACAGGAAGCTTATCTGTAATGACAGGAGAGACTTTACAGACCACAGGAGTAACGCTTCCTAGACCACAGGAGTAACGCTTCCTAGACCACAGGAGTAACGCTTCCAAGACCAGTGGAGTAACGCTTCCTAGACCACAGGAGTAACGCTTCCTAGACCACAGGAGTAACGCTTCCTAGACCAGTGGAGTAACGCTTCCTAGACCACAGGAGTAACGCTTCCAAGACCAGTGGAGTAACGCTTCCTAGACCACAGGAGTAACGCTTCCTAGACCACAGGAGTAACGCTTCCTAGACCACAGGAGTAACGCTTCCTAGACCACAGGAGTAACGCTTCCTAGACCACAGGAGTAACGCTTCCTAGACCACAGGAGTAACGCTTCCTAGACCACAGGAGTAACGCTTCCTAGACCACAGGAGTAACGCTTCCTAGACCACAGGAGTAACGCTTCCTAGACCACAGGAGTAACGCTTCCTAGACCACAGGAGTAACGCCTCCTAGACCACAGAAGTAACGCTTCCTAGACCACAGGAGTAACGCTTCCTAGACCACAGGAGTAACGCTTCCTAGACTACAGGAGAAGTAAGGGTTCCCAGACCACAGGATTGATTGATAATGATTAAGCCACGGTAGAGGTGGCACGGGCATGAATAGCCCGTAAGTGGAGGCTATTTAAAGTCATTACCAGTACCTTTAGCTGGTACTGTAGATCTGAAAATGACTGAGGGTCTGGAAAGTGGGACAGTGGTAAGTATAGTCAGGAGAGAAAGCTTCGGCGTCGCAGAGAGTAGAACCGGGGCTCAACCCAGCAACCGGGGGAGGATTTTTGGATAGATGGCAGAATCAGTCACACAGCACAAAGCACCAGGGAGGACCAAAAGGGCCGAGCAGCAGCCAGATGTCTTTGTCTGATATTCCACTACAGCATCACTATCTCAGGACGCCTTCAGAGCTGCATTTTTTTCCTGTTCTTCGGTTTCTTGTTTTAGCTTCGTGTGTGTACATTAGGGGTGTCTACTATGGTGTAGGGTATCATAGGAGATCCTCGCGATATTCCGCGGTAAGTTGATGGTGATCGCCTGGCCATTTCTGAAAGCGGTGTATCGACTTGTGGTTGTGTCCATTATACCAGGTGTATCGTGACCCTCAAACACGGTACGTAAACAGTACCCTCATCGTACGTACCCGATGAGACGTCGAGACTGCAACTCGGGAGCCATACTCATCTACGCCGGAGAGATCCTCATCGTCCATATGTTCGTCTGAAGATGCGAAGTCTTCTTCGTCCTGTGTCGCCTTTATTCCTGATTTCTTTGTGTTGTGCACCGCTGTCAGCGTCGTCTGGGTGCCCGCAGTTGTCGTCGTCCGTGGAGCGTCCGTCTGTGTGCCCGCAGTTGTCGTCGTCCGTGGAGCGTCCGTCTGGGTGCCCGTAGTTGTCGTCGTCCGTGGAGCGTCCGTCTGGGTGCCCGTAGTTGTCGTCGTCCGTGGAGCGTCCGTCTGGGTGCCCGTAGTTGTCGTCGTCCGTGGAGCGTCCGTCTGTGTGCCCGCAGTTGTCGTCGTCCGTGGAGCGTCCGTCTGGGTGCCCGTAGTTGTCGTCGTCCGTGGAGCGTCCGTCTGTGTGCCCGTAGTTGTCGTCGTCCGTGGAGCGTCCGTCTGTGTGCCCGCAGTTGTCGTCGTCCGTGGAGCGTCCGTCTGGGTGCCCGTAGTTGTCGTCGTCCGTGGAGCGTCCGTCTGTGTGCCTGCAGTTGTCGTCGTCCGTGGAGCGTCCGTCTGTGTGCCCGCAGTTGTCGTCGTTCGTGGAGCGTCCGTCTGGGTGCCCGTAGTTGTCGTCGTCCGTGGAGCGTCCGTCTGTGTGCCCGCAGTTGTCGTCGTCCGTGGAGCGTCCGTCTGTGTGCCCGCAGTTGTCGTCGTCCGTGGAGCGTCCGTCTGTGTGCCCACAGTTGTCGTCGTCCGTGGAGCGTCCGTCTGGGTGCCCGTAGTTGTCGTCGTCCGTGGAGCGTCCGTCTGTGTGCCCGCAGTTGTCGTCGTCCGTGGAGCGTCCGTCTGGGTGCCCGTAGTTGTCTTCATCAGCCGCGGGACTTCGGTCTGGGGCTGCAATTTCCAGACCACAGGAGGAGAAGTACTTCCTAGACCACAGGAGGAGAAGTACTTCCCAGACCACTGGAGGAGAAGTACTTCCTAGACCACAGGAGGAGAAGTACTTCCCAGACCACTGGAGGAGAAGTACTTCCCAGACCACTGGAGGAGAAGTACTTCCTAGACCACAGGAGGAGAAGTACTTCCCAGACCACTGGAGGAGAAGTACTTCCCAGACCACAGGAGGAGAAGTACTTCCCAGACCACTGGAGGAGAAGTACTTCCCAGACCACAGGAGGAGAAGTACTTCCCAGACCACTGGAGGAGAAGTACTTCCCAGACCACAGGAGGAGAAGTACTTCCCAGACCACAGGAGGAGAAGTACTTCCCAGACCACAGGAGGAGAAGTACTTCCCAGACCACAGGAGGAGAAGTACTTCCCAGACCACAGGAGGAGAAGTACTTCCCAGACCACAGGAGGAGAAGTACTTCCCAGACCACAGGAGGAGAAGTACTTCCCAGACCACAGGAGGAGAAGTACTTCCCAGACCACAGGAGGAGAAGTACTTCCCAGACCACAGGAGGAGAAGTACTTCCCAGACCATAGGAGGAGAAGTACTTCCTAGACCACAGGAGGAGAAGTACTTCCCAGACCACAGGAGGAGAAGTACTTCCCAGACCACAGGAGGAGAAGTACTTCCCAGACCACAGGAGGAGAAGTACTTCCCAGACCACAGGAGGAGAAGTACTTCCCAGACCACAGGAGGAGAAGTACTTCCTAGACCACAGGAGGAGAAGTACTTCCCAGACCACAGGAGGAGAAGTACTTCCCAGACCACAGGAGGAGAAGTACTTCCCAGACCACAGGAGGAGAAGTACTTCCCAGACCACAGGAGGAGAAGTACTTCCCAGACCACAGGAGGAGAAGTACTTCCCAGACCACAGGAGGAGAAGTGCCCCCCTCCCCTGTTTCCTAATCCTCCCCACCAACCCCCACTCCACTGACCCCATGTCCTCCTCAATATTCGCCATTCCCCTATCCCCTCATCGTCCCCACCATTACCCCCATCCCATCCCCTTGTCCTCCCCCACCATCCCCCCACTCTCGTCTCCTAGTCCTCCCCACCATTCCCCACTCCCGTCCCCTTGTCTTCCCCCATCATTCCCCACTCTCTCGTCCGATGGGTTCCCAAATGATCTGATGTTCCCATCAGAAAAATGGGGACATCAAATGATCTGATGTTCTCATCACTGAAAAATAAGAAGTTAATGAAACGAAATTAAAAAAAACAATGAAAAATTCCAAAAATAAACTATAGTCACGAAATGAATTGTATGGTAAACAACACAGCTCAATTCCAACGCAATGTCATACAAAATAATTAACTCAAAATGAAAATAAATCGAAATCTATGAAAATTAAATTTATCAATGCAATCAGAAACACTGAAATGGAGTCGTAACATTTTTAGTATAGTTTGTGTTGCTATTACGTGCAAGAGATGGCGCTGTTTGTCAAAAAAGCATGTTTGTACCTGTCACAGGTGTGGCATCTATGTAGTATGTATATAAAACCACGCTCGGATGCAAGTGGAACGTTGTGACAATTTAAAAGGATTCAGTAAAGAACTTTCGGAGATTAGCGATTTTTAACAAACAAACACTTACATTTTTATTTATATAGACTAACTGTACCCAGTCACGCATTGCTGTGACTCAGCAACTTCACAGCAACCTTCCCTTGTCTCAGTCCCTTCCACCATTCCCCCCTCCCCCGTCCCCTCGTCCTCCTAACCATTCTTCACTCAACCCGTCCTCCTAAAAATAACGTCACTTTCGGCTCGTATGCGCACTATGGCCAAATTTGGACGTAATTTGAAATGAAATCGACTCACAAAAGTGAGGTTCTGTTCCGTTTTCTGTTTGAGTCGTCCGGCCTACGCGGACAGGTTTGAAGAGGAAACATTCAATTAACGTTTTTTATAACGTTTTGAAACTTTATGAGAATTTCCTGCCCACCTAACCTATCAGAAGACCCTTAACTTTCTGTTGTTGAATAAAAAAATACCAAATTTATTTTCAATTTTTTTTCATTTTCAAATTATGTCTACTTTCAGCCATACGGGTAAACGGTCAAAAGTGACGTTATTATTAAGACGACAGGTTGCTTCACTCCCCCGTCCCTCGTCTTCCAGACCATTTCCCACTCTCTTGTCCCCTAGTCCTCCCCACCATCCCCACTCCCCTGTCCCTTTGTCCTCCCCACCATCCCCCACTCTACCGTCCCCTCGCCCTCTTAACCATTCCCCACTTCAACGTCCCTCGTCCTCCCAACAATCTTCCACTCCCCATCCCTTTGTCCTCCCTACCATTTCCCCCTTTCCCCGTCCCCTCGTCCTCCCCAAAATCCCCCACTCCCCTAATTCCCTTGTCCTCCCCACCATTCTCCATTTCCATGTCCCCTAGTCCCCACCATCCCCATTTCCTCTGTTCCCTCGTCCTCCCCACCGTTCCCATCCCCTTATCCGGTGCATTCTCAAATTATCTGATGTTCCCATCAGAAAATTGTGAACATCAAATTATCTGATGTTCCCATCACTGAAATATAAGAATAACAGTTAAAAAAAAGAAATGAATAACAATGAAAAAATAAAAAAATATGCTTTACTCATGAAATGAACAGTGTGGTAAACAACACAGCTCAGTTCCAATGCAATGTCATACAAAATAATTAAATTAAAATTAAAATAAATTGAAATCTATGCAAATTCAATTTATCTATGCAATCAGAAACATTGAAATGGAATCGTAGCATATTTATTATGTGTGTGTTGCTCTTACATGCAACAGATGGTGCTGTTTCTCAAAAAAAAAAAACGTTTTTATCTGTCACAGGTGTGGCATCGATATAGTAGGTATATAACAACATGTGCATATTCGAATGAAAAGTTGTGTAAAAATTTCAAAGCAATCGGTGAAGAACTTTCGGAGATTAGTGATTTTGAACAAACAAACATTTACATTTTTATTTATATAGATAGCGTGTGTTGCTCTTATGTGCAACAGATGGCGCTGTTTCTTAAAAAAACAGATTGTGCTGTTTTTTCAAGAAAAGCATAGTTTTTACCTGTCACAGGTGTGGCATCAATACTTATACTTACGAAATAAACGGTATGGTAAACAACACAACTCAATTCCACCGCAATGTCACACAAAATAATTAAATCAAAATTTAAATAAATCGAAATCTATGAAAATTCAATTTATCAATGCAATTGGAAACATTAAAATGGAATTGCAAAATTGGGTATGCGTTTGTTGCTATTACGTGCAACAGATGGCGTTGTTTTTTTTAAAATTATGTTTTTACCTGCTACATGTGTGGCAACCCGTTCTCGCAAATTTAATAAGTCAATATTGACTTATTAAATATGTGCATAGGTGACATACTTAACATAATAGATTCCCTTAAAAAGATTCATAGAAAACACCGACCTTACCTAACCTACTTAGTATGTTAAGATAAGCATCTTATTGCTTCGTAATTACAATTATTACCTAACCTATAATAGGTATAGGTTAAGTAATAATTGTAATTACGAAGCAATAAGATGCTTATCTTAAGATACTAACAAGGTTAGGTAAGGAAGGTGTTTTCTATGAATCTTTTTAAGGGTATCTATTATGTTTAGTACATCACCTATGCACGTAGTTAATAAGTCAATATTGACTTTACGAATTTGCGAGAACGGGTTGATGTGTGGCATCTATGTAGTAGGTATATAAAACACGCTTGTATTTGAATAGAAAGTTTGTCAAAATTTCAAAGCAATCGGTGAAGAACTTTCGGAGAGTACAGCGTGTGTTGCTCATACGTCCAACAGATTTTGAGGTTATCTTGAGATGATTTCAGGGCTTAGCGTCCCCGCGGCCCGGTCCTCGGCCAGGCCTCCTTTCTGTTACACCCCCCAGGAAGCAGCCCGTAGCAGCTGTCTAACTCCCAGATACCTATTTACTGCTAGGTGATTAGGGGCATTAGGGATGAAAAAACTTTTTGCCTATTTGTCTCCGCCTCCACCGAGGATCGAACCCGGAACCTCAGGACTACGAATCCGAAGCGCTGTCCAACCAGCTGTCAGGCGCCCAGTGGCGCCAGATAACGCTGTTAAAAAAAAAAAATGTTTTTTTCTTGACAAAGGTGAGGCATGTATATAGTAGGTATATAAATACACGCGCCTATTCGAATGCAGCGTTGTATCAAAATTTCAAAGCAAGGTTTCGAAGACTTCCCTCACATGAAAAACACAGTTTTCCAAAACAAAGGCATGTTTTTTCCCTTTAAAGACGTGATATATATATATATATATATATATATATATATATATATATATATATATATATATATATATATTGTATATAAAAATCCGCTCGGATGCGAATGGAACGTTGTGTCAAAATTTCAAAGTAATCGGTGAAGAACTTTCGGAGATTAGCGGTTTTGAACAAACGAACATTTACATTTTTATTTATATAGAAGATTGAAACAATCCGTAGGAGCCGTGATGAGGCTACGGATTCTCTCACTGATGCAGTCACGTTAGTGTGATTACTCTCTCATTAGTATTATTAGTATCAGTAGTAGTAGTCATTGCAATTGAATTAAAATAAGATTACTAATGATGATTAACAAATAATTGTTAATTTAATCATCAATAACAAAATTGGAGAGGTTAGACAGTCACGAGTCAATAAGTACTCAAAGCCTATTGCGCATGTCTGTGTATATTGACAGTGTTATATACAGGGTTAGGTTAACTGGATGATTGGTTAGTTAGTTAATACTATCTCAGAATAGTATTTATGTAAATAACTATCCAGAGGTTGATTGAACTTACTTACAGGGCCCCTCAATGGAAGACATTGTAGTGTATTTTCAAAATACATTTACTCAGGCCTATAAGATGGAGGAAAAGTTGATACAGGATGTAATTCATAGGAATAATAAACCATGCAGTGAAAATGCAAAGATTCGTCCTCTCATTTATTGTTACAATTCTAGTACAGCTTCCATTAGTGTGAGATATAACTTTTCTGCCTCTGCGGACAAACTGAAATGTACTGATGTAGTATATCAATACAAGTGCAATTCTGAAGACTGATGACCAGACCACACACTAGAAGGTGAAGGGACGACGATGTTTCGGTCCGTCCTGGACTATTCTCAATTCTGAAGACTGTGCACTGCGGAAAGTATGCAATATTAGAAACACCTCGAATACTCTGAGTAAACGTCTTACACTTCATTTGCAAGACGGTGGAATTAAGAAACATCCCTCGCAACATCACAACACCATCCAGAATCACCAGAACATAGTGGAGGACACCACAATAATCACACACCAAGGATCGCAGTAGGTTCTGTACACGTTCTGTACATGTTCATTCGGGCGTTGGGTCAGTAGAAATTTGGTTTTCTCTGCTTTACATATGGTGGCAAAGATAGGGGAGTTATCTTAAAATTAAATATTTTAGTGTACTATAAGGAATTGCGGTACGTTTTCTATGTGTTATTATATGGAACTTTAATACGTGGTGTAATTTAACATATTACTCCACATAGTTCCACATATCACTCTCCACATATGTTAACTGCTTAAGTTAGAAACTTACTTGTGGTCGATCTTGAACCCATTGATGATGTGACGATGTATATTGAATTTTGTAACTAGCTCATCAAGATTGTAACTTGCTTAGCTAAATGAATTGTGGGGTTCAGTCCATGAGCCCATTATGTGCCTCTGTAACCCTTTCCACTACTGCCCACAAGATGGTTATAGGGTGCATAAAAAAATGAATTAACTAACTGGTGTAATTAATTCAACAATGGTATTAGTGGGCACACCCAAGTTACATTTGGGAAGTTCATCACACAAAAACAACATCAGGTCATCGACAGGTACTTCCATAAACAAACATCAAAATTCACATGATTAAATATCATAATT